GCTTCGTCTCATATTAGGAAGGTGGACGCAGGATCCCAGATGAGGAACAACGAGAAGGGTCGAACCCTGCACGGACCCTTTTGTGGAGGGATCCCCTCCGCCGGGTCCACGTAGGATTGATCCCCGACGCGCTTGGTGGAGTTGACCCGAGGATAAAACTGTGCGTTCCTACTCGCCGAAGTTGAGTCTCAGAGGAGGGCGGCTACCTGGCTTGAAGAGGGGAATAGGGATTCCCCTCTGCCGGTCGGGTTGGGACGCGCCCTCTTTTGGTAGAGCCGCGAACATGGGGCGCTAGAGCAGAAAGCGCAGTACTGAGGTAGGAAGTACCTGGTCATCCACCTCCATCGCTTGCTTTTTTAACGCGCCCCATCTGTCCCTCTCCGAAACGGAAGACCGAGTCCGGAGAGAAAAGCGAGTGGTTGCCACCGCCGCATTTCGCCTGACGAAAATCATGGCCGGAGGGCACGGGGGGAGGCGTAGAGGCGTATAATGCGAGGTAACGAAAGGGAATAACAACACAAAATACACACAAAACTTGAGGAAGTGGAACCACCATATCCTGAGTAAAGGGATGAACCTCAAACTGAACAAACACACAAAAGGACGACTCTTAGGTACCGGAGTCTAAACCTCCACGACTAGGAGTAGGGTCCGGGCGAGTGTGAACCGCCAACGCGTTCGGCTTAGGTCCTCCACGAAAAGACTTCCAGCGGTCTGACTATTTCGGTAGTCTTTTGGATAGTAGACGGTTTTTCGGTCACCCACGTTAGGAGAGATCAGGTGGCTTAACGTCTGGGGGAGGGTGCTGAGCGGAGAACTTTAGGAAATTAGGTACAAAATAATGTTTGTCCAAAAATAAACCCTGGGTTTCGCAATCGGGACCCGCCCTCTGGTGGGAGTGGACTTTACCCAGGAGAATGACGGCCCTGGGCCTGTGAAAACAACAAATCATGTCTCTAACCCTACCGGGACTCATCTCTGGGGGAGTGGGGTATGGAGGGCGAACAGTGGAGGGTGTCACCTACACACAACCATGGCAGTATGCCGGAAAAGTTCAGATGTTTTGTGTACATCTGACCTATTCGCATGAGAGTCCGGGAGGTCCTAAGGCAACCGGCTCTCATTTTACACTAGGCAGCAGGAAAAAAAAAATGCTGGTCCTGCCTTAGCGTATACAAGGAGTTAGACTCCAGCTGTTAGCCGAAGACCTGGAGGGAAGGCTCCATGGAATCTCATTTGAAAAGGGCCCACAGACATTCATCACACTACAAGGAGACATTAACCGTGTGTGGGAGACAATAGGGGGAAATTTTTCCTCCCTGGTGGGTGGGGCCCAGACGGTGAGGAAGCCAATGACAAAGGCTGAAGGTGCGGTAAGCAACTACTCTGCAAAGTTGGAACTGAGTCAGGTAGTTGTGGGTCTCGGAGTCCGTAAAAGACCCGCCTTAGATGGTGAAAAACAACCATAAATTTAACAACATGTTACGAAAACCCAAAAATTGTCCCTCTTGTCTCTTTGTTTATCAAAAAAGACAACAAATAACATGGGTGATGTCTCAAAGGCTTCCTGTGAAAAAGAGGTCTTAAAACGATAGCAAACCCTGATGACAAACAAACAAGAAATGTTTGGGACACATAATGGGAGTTCGAGACACTAACCTACAACCTCAACGTCACGATGTTCCAATACAAACTTTACCTTACCTTGGTGCCGTCTAAATAGGGTTTTGACCTGAACAAAAAACAAGAAGACCCTTGGGGAGATACCGTGCAGAGATGACCTTAACATCAAAATTTTCTGCAAAAGCATAAAGGGTGTTAATCTTCAACGGTCATAATTTTGACACATAGTGGACACACCACACCACACACACACCAAATCCCACTATGTTTTGTGTCACCACAATAGTTTACCAGTATATTAAATTATTTACCCACTTAATTATAATAGAACTGTGGAAACAAAAAGTCCTTAACATCGAAATAATTGTTCCGACCAGAATACAGACATTTGGGAAGGACAACAAAGTAACTATTCGGACTTTTACGTCAACGCTCAACACGTTTAAAAACGTTTTATTCCGTCATCGGTAGCTAGTAGAATTCTATTCTATACAAACAAAACGGAAACATATATATACCTAGGAAAACCAAAGTGCATAAGTCAAAGAAAAAAAGAAAAAAAAAAAAAGGCCGCCGTCAAGAAGTTCAAACAGGTCTCAGAAAGTAGTCCCGAGATACTTAATTATTATATTTACCCTAAATATATCGCGAAAAGATCTGGGCTTTCTGCGAAATGTAAATACTCAGTCCAGCTGTTTGTTTTTGTTCTTGGTTTTTGTGTTTGTTTTGTTTTGTTTGTTTTTGTCTTTTCGTCAGTCCTCCTACAACCCAAGTCTCCCCCCTCCCCGCCCAAATTCCTATTCGTCTCACTTCTCCACCCAAAACCTCTGCCTTGACCTTGTCACTCCTTAGTCCTGAGTGCCTCCCTCCAGAACCCCTCCCAAGTTCGAAGCGAGCGCCTTGGGATCCCCCAGTCAGAGCTGGTTGATGTGGCCAGGGAAAAGAAAGTTTGGGGCTCTCTGCTGGAACTGCTACCTCCGCGACCCGACCACGGATAAGCGGGAGAAGATGGATGGATAGATGGAATATTGTGTAATTAACAAGGATAATCTGATGTTTTTTAGTGGATGAGTATGGCAGATATCACTGTGTAATCATTTGACAGTGAGGGGAATACTTCCGGTTTTATTATGAAAACTTCGAGACCAGAAAAACTGTTTTCACCCACGCTAACTTTACATGGAAGCTGCCGTCAATATAAATGAATAGGAGAAAGACGTAGTATATACACGTTCTCCTGGCGAGACCTCAAATCATCTTCGTAATATCTATCAAACTATAGATCCTACACATCCACTGGACGTAGATTATAAAAGTACAATATACACCTCTCGCTAGAAATCTCATAAAAAACATTTTAATGGCCAATTTAGGATTTTCCAGAGAGGGTTATTTGTGAATAAACGACCCTCCGGAGCGTTTGCAATGAATGGGAGCATGTTGTTTCTTACACGACCACTAGAGGTGCTACACTTTAAAACGTGACTCTGGGTCGTATTAAGCTTCTGAACAATCGACCTATATCTATCTATCTATCGTCTTTTGTAGGAGGGCAGGCTGGTATAAATTCAAGTTTTTACTGGGCGTTTTAACTTCAATCGGGTTGCTTTCACATCAAAAAGGAAGCATGGGGATTTTGGTGAGAAACACACACACACGCACGCACACACGCACGCACACACGCACGCACACACACGTTGCACTGGCTTTTCCTTTCATGACTAAAAGTGTTTTATGGAGGAACGTAGTGGCATTAGTGCTGAGGTAAAATCTGTCTGTCTTGAACAAGTACTCAGATCTAAAGCAAAGTACAAATACCACAACATAGAAATACTCTGATATAAAAATGTGTCTTGATGCTACGCTGCTTATTAGGGATATTATAAGTAAGAAAATAGTAATACAGTTCCAGAACAGGGATACAGTTCTGCAAATTAATATTTTTTATTTAAATTAAGGTGTCCTCTATTTTATTTAATAAATATTTTACTTATGTTTATAATAATATTTGATTGAAAATGTCATGACATTTTTATGTCAATATAATGATCTCTAATCAATTTTATTTTTATATTATGTTTTAATTGCACATCTTACTTTAACTTCTTATATAAATATTTGTATCATCCTAATTTTTGTTTTTGTTTCTAAAGAGCAACTCTCCTAAAACTCAATTTCCCCAGGGACAGTAAAGTATTCTGATGGGCTGACTGACTGGTTTCTCTGCAGCCGGGCAGAGGGAACCGGTTCTGTGATGAAGACGTTACGTCACGCTGATAAATGATTAATTGTGACACTGTGTTTTTTAGATCAGCATGGAACAACAGGTTCATGCAAGTAGCTCAGAGGACAAGCTTCCTCCCCCCCCCTCTTGTGGGACATCCCGGGTATAAAGAGAGAAACTCTGTCAGCAGAAACAACTCACTCAGGAGAAACAGTCCTCAGCTCTTCGAAAAAACTTCATCTGATGAGGCTCCGCTGAAGAGTCTCTGCTGCACACACTCCTGAAGGTAACCTGACACTTCTGTTTCCACTGTGTAATGTGAGGAGGGTATCTGATGAGGAGGGGGGGATTCTGTTGGACAGTAAGGCTGCAGCAGTTTTTTATTTATTTAACATTTAATTCAACTTTTAGTGAAGCAGTCTTTTCCAATGTTACGCTCATATCTCAGGCTTCTTTTTATTTGTATTTGCTTTTTAATGATATTGTTGACCTGTAAATACAAATATTGAGTACATTGAAATTTGCTCTATGGATAAAATGTATAATTTATTTATTTTTGTATTTATTTTATTCCAACAATGATTATTATACAAACATAATATATCACATTATTGTTAACAGGACTGTAGTAAAGTGCACTATGTATACAAAGTGTATAATGCATTCATGTGCTAAACTTTATTCCTCTTTCTCTCTTTTAAATCTTCTCCCTGTTCCTTTTATTTTTCTATATCCATATTTATTATTCTATCCTCCATCACCTCTCCTCTCTTTTCTTCTCCTTGCCCCATCTTGCTAACTTTTCTCTGACCCTTTCTATGTCTACTCTTACTCTCCCCCCTGAACCTTCTCCCCAGACTCCACTCTTCCTCCTGTCTCTTGTCTTTACCCTCCAGCCTTCCAGCCCCCAGCAGTATGCCTCCTCAGCTCCCCTCTCAGAACCAGAGCAGCCCGAGGGTCCTGCAGGGCGACCTGAGCGCCCTCAGCCCGGCCCTGAAGGAGTTTGTGGATCTGAACGTGACGCTGTGCCAGCCCGACGCCCTACACATCTGTGACGGCTCCGAGGAGGAGAACCAGGCCGTCCTGACACAGCTGGAGGAGCAGGGCCTGATCAAGAAGCTCCGCAAATATGAGAACTGGTGGGTGCGATTCAATTCAGAGAATTCTGGAGACAGGGGCCACAAAGCAAATACTCTAAACATCAGCAGACTTGAACCCTTTCAGTTGCCTAAAATGTCAGTTTTCTGTGGGATTTATTTTCAAAATTATTTCACAAAAAAACTGTATTTACAACAGAAATAATACTTACACATGATAAATAAGTTACACGAAGCTGCCACTACAACAATGCAACTCATATTTTAGTTTTTTTTATCCAGATCAACCATGAATACTCATTTAAAAATTATAAATAATATTTCAAACAAATATCTACAGAAAAATAAGAACAACAGCTAGTATGTGGCTGTGGTGGCTTTTGTAACAAAGACAGAGGAAACCCAAAGCAGTTGGCAGAGAGCACGGTCTTGTTGTTCCTAGAGACAGTGTGCAAGAGTAAGTCGTCATCAGCTGTTGAAATAAACAACACACGTGTGAAAGGTCGGCATTCTGAAGAACCAGAAAGTCCAGCTCCTTTAGGACGAGCAGCCGCTGTCACACAAACATTCACGTGAACAGGAGGCAGGTTAACTAGCAATTCTGCTTCATCCTACTGCAAAAAACCAAAAATCTCAAATCTGATAAATCTGAAATAGTAATCCTTTTGAGGAAGGAATAAAAAAAACTCATGGTTTAGGCAGATGAAAGGCAAACAAAAATATTGAATAAAGAGGCAATCACACGGTAATTAACATCAAATTACTACAGCATTTTTTTTTTTTATTGTTAAAATAAATAAGTAGCAGCATAAAAAGTAAAAGGTAAATAGACGTAAAGCTTTTCAAGTCTTTGCGACTACACAAAGTGCTTTTGAAGTTTCAAGTTAGCATTCACACACATTCAGCCAAGACACTTCCACATGTTGACTGTTGGGGCTGGGGCTCCAACCTCCGAGCCACTGGTGGATGACAACTCCACCTCCTGAGCTACAACTTCTTGTTGCAAACACAGGGACAAAATGCAATGTACCAATCTTGCGAACGTATGAAAGAAATTTAAAAGACAAAAAGTCTCACCCTTCTCTTCCTCTTCCTCTTCCTGCAGCTTTTTGGCCAGGACCGACCCAAGGGACGTGGCTCGTGTGGAGAGTAAGACGGTGATTGTGACCCGGGAGCAGAGGGACACAGTGCCCACCCCTCTGGACGGAGGGGTCAGCCAGCTGGGACGCTGGATGTCCCCTGAAGAGTTCGACAAGGCCGTGGACCAAAGGTTCCCCGGCTGCATGAAAGGTAAAACGGAGAACACAATTACACATCAGGATGAACAAGTGAATAGAGGCACAAATCTCTCCAAAAAGTCTAAAGTGGTTAAGATTCCCCTTCCCAAGGTAGAACAAAGCAGAACCATGTTTCTTTAATAATTGAATCGGTGTGTAGATTTGGAAATGGATGGTTGTATAAGGGTATTTCACTGCAAAATGTGTTCATTTGGTTCCTGAAAGTCAATATTTTACATTTCATCTGTCGTGAAGCACACAGTCTCATTGAAACTAAGGTATCATTTAAATGTTCTCTCTCCTCAGGTCGTACCATGTATGTGATCCCGTTCAGCATGGGCCCAGTGGGGTCCCCCCTCTCTAAGATCGGGGTGGAGCTGACCGACTCCCCCTACGTGGTCGCCAGTATGAGAGTGATGACCCGCATGGGGAAGTCTGTGCTGTCCGCTCTGGGGACAGGAGAGTTCGTCCGCTGTCTGCACTCCGTCGGCTGTCCTCTGCCGCTGAAGAGTACGTCCACAACATCAAAACAACATCAAAACAACATCCAGCTAACTACATGTACTAAGTACTAAGGCTCGGAAAAATAACTAGTAACTTTTGTGTCATTTTGATAAATTATATATACTAGTAGCACTAGTACTACTTATAATATATTTACTAACGGTAAAAGCATGACGTTACAACATATTTTGCCATTTTTGCATGAAAATTGACATTAACGATGAATCGATTGAATAGACAAATTTGTCTTATCGTTGAAGTTCTACCAGGACACTAAATTAAGTAAAACATTCCACCTCCACTGATGCTATCGACTGATTAAAGTAAACCCTTTGTCTTGCAGAGCCCTTGGTGAACAGCTGGCCCTGTAACCCGGAGCAGACGCTGATCGCTCACGTCCCGGACCGCAGGCAGATCGTCTCGTTCGGCAGCGGATACGGAGGAAACTCCCTTCTGGGGAAGAAATGCTTCGCTCTGCGCATCGCATCATGCATCGCCAAGGAAGAAGGCTGGCTGGCCGAGCACATGCTGGTAAGATCTGAAAAAACTCACAATATATAATTATAAGTACTTCCCACAACAACTTGTTAAACGGAATGTTTCTCCTCTTCAGATCCTGGGTGTCACCAACCCTGCAGGGCAGAAAAAGTACATGGCAGCAGCCTTCCCCAGCGCCTGTGGGAAGACCAACCTGGCCATGCTCTGCCCCACGCTGCCCGGCTGGAAGGTGGAGTGTGTGGGAGACGACATCGCCTGGATGAAGTTTGACGACCAAGGTGAGGGACTCAAGACTTTGAGAAGCTCATTTAATCCCATTTGGGATGATAGGATTACAATTAAAACTGAAAGGGTACTCATGGAGCGCGGCCCTCCTTTAAGGCCGATTATATAAGTGAATCCATGATGTATATAGACATCCTGTCATTTGGATCCACTTCGCAATGTAATGGGTTCTTTGTTGGACAATGTTGTACCATTCGTTGGGACCAATGTTGGGCACGTAGTTTTCTCCTAATCCTGCCTGAGATACAAACAAACCCACTAATTGAACCAGAAAGATAACCTCCTTGGCAAATATAATAATATTACAAACTATCAATTCTAACACTCATTATTTCCATTGTTCCCTGTCTCTAGGAAACCTACGTGCCATCAACCCTGAGAATGGCTTTTTCGGAGTTGCCCCCGGCACCTCAGTCAAAACCAACCCCAATGCCATGGAGACCATCATTAAGAACACAGTGTTCACCAATGTTGCGGAAACCAGTGATGGCGGCGTGTACTGGGAGGGAATGGACCAGGCACTTCCTGAAGGAGTCACCATCATTTCCTGGAAGAACAAGCCCTGGAGCTCAGAGGACGGTAAGAGTTTTTAACTTCATTATTATTTCTTCTGTGCTTGCAGAAAACAGAGGGCATTGCAAAGACTGTAGGTGGGATAAGGAAAGTCAAAATAGGCTGGAAATACCAGGAAGTTAATTGGAAGGGCCAATTGTTTAGAAGATCCAATCTGTAGAAGTGCCATCCTGTGGACCAAAGGTCTGAGATAGCTTTTGTGTTTTTCAAAGAAATCACTGAAGAGATACAGGAGTAGTTATCAAACTGGTGTTTCAAAGAGCAACAAGACAAGCTAGAGAACATCACACACATTAGGGGTAAGGAGATAAGAATGTTGGGAAATAAAGTTTACCCTCATGTCTCTCTTTCTCTTTCCAGGCGAACCTTGCGCTCATCCCAACTCTCGTTTCTGCACTCCGGCCGGGCAGTGTCCCATTATCGACCCAATGTGGGAATCCCCGGAGGGAGTCCCCATTGAGGCCATCATTTTCGGAGGACGAAGGCCAGAAGGTGAGCAAAGATATAAACAGTATGCAGTGGGATCAATGAATTAACAAAAGGAAAGGACTGAAAGAAGATATAAGGAGATGTGAGAAAATGATGACAAAATATGAATCTAATAAATGACTATTCTTCCGCTCAGGTGTCCCTCTGGTATACGAGGCTTTCAGCTGGCAGCACGGTGTGTTTGTTGGAGCAGCCATGAGGTCAGAGGCCACCGCTGCAGCCGAATACAAAGGTCAGTATCTAATCATTCTCATGACAAGAGAGCTTTTTTTATTTATCTCACCTCCATTCAGCCTTCAAAGGCCGAGAAGTTGATTCAATCCATGTTTGAGCAACGTGCATAGAAACTGCATACTTTATATCAACGGTTTTCAAAGTGTGAGGCGCGCCTCCCCTGGAGGGCGCCAGAGAGCTTCAGGGGAGGCGCAGCGTGAGACACAAAAGAACGAGAAAAAGACGAGTAAAGTGACACTTGCCCGCTTGTGGCTGTCTGTGGAGACCGAGTTCCCCCACCTCGCCAAAAAGGCTGTAAAAGTGCTCATTCCCTTCCCCTCCACCTACCTGTGTGAGTGCTCATTCCCTTCACCTCCACCTACCTGTGTGAGTGCTCATTCCCTTCACCTCCACCTACCTGTGTGAGTGCTCATTCCCTTCACCTCCACCTACCTGTGTGAGTGCTCATTCCCTTCACCTCCACCTACCTGTGTGAGTGCTCATTCCCTTCACCTCCACCTACCTGTGTGAGTGCTCATTCCCTTCACCTCCACCTACCTGTGTGAGTGCTCATTCCCTTCACCTCCACCTACCTGTGTGAGTGCAGGTTTTCCGCATTGACTTTGATCAAAAGCAAGTACCGGTAAAGGCTGCAGCCAGAGGATGATCTGCGTTTATTCCTGTGTGCATCAAAGACGCAGACTCATTGTTCCCACTAAAGTAGGGGTGAGTGTAATAAGGAGGTAAAGTTGACGTTCAGTGTGTTGCCGGGAGCATATAAGGATTTATCCACCATGTTGAAAATGTTAAAAAAAAAATGTCTTGAGAACACGGCGTGCGGAAATATACGGGTCGTGCTGCAGCTAGATGTGCCTGTCCTCTGTAAGAAGGTGTAGGCGACTGACATGCAAGGAAGAACGGCTGTCCACAGGCTGTTCCAACTTTAACAACTGTATTAACTTCCAGGGTAGTGAATTGAACATGCAATTGTAATTGGGTGTGTGGTATATTTTCATGCACGGACNCTCCACTGCAGCAACTCTATATCCACCAGTTAAAGGAAATACAACTAATGTGTTGTGTTATATTAGCTGTACAATTTACCACATATGGTGTTCTTAGTTTCCATACCTCCTGTGTTTTACGAGCGACTTATCAAGTCTTAGCAAACGACATAAAACATGATTAAACATGATAGAATATAAAACCATGCTCGTATCTACAACCTATAGAAATGCAAAACGGTGTCAGTTTAGACGTAATTATGTCCTCCTGCTTACGCATCATTTATGAGAAAACATTTCATAACATTAACACAACATATTCAAGGTGGTTTTAAATAACATATCCGTATTTATTTATTTCTCCAAGTTATGTTTTTGTGTGCACTGAGGAGTCGCAAAGAGGCGTTTGTTTAATCATTTTAAGATTGGCTTTGATCAATGTTTGAAAAATAAATTCTTCATATATGATAAATGAGAGGTAACATTTTATTTATGGTATTATTTCCACATATTTCTCTCCATTCTTCCTTCTGCCAACGGTGTCGCAGTTTTTCTCGTCTCTCCCGTTTTTGTGCTTAGTGCGTACGCATGAGTTAGAGTTTGCGTGGAGGACCGCACGTTTTCCCGTCAAGTTAGTATTTTATAAATCGGAAACATTGCGTAGAAACTGGCGTACGCCATTTTTGGAGCGTATATCCCTTTTATAAATGAGGCCCCTGGTGAGAAGAGGATTGGGAAGAACCCTGGAAGCAGGAAAAGACTAACGAGGCTGATGTAGAGCAGGTGTGCATGGTAAAGGCTCAGGAAGGCAACAGGAGAATCAGCAAAAAAGGCTACAAACCAGACTGAATGTCTATGGGACACATCATATATCAGAAATAACAATGACAACAGCAACATGACTTAATAATTGACAACACTTTTATTGTCTTCTCCCTTCTCTGGGGTCTCAAGATGGCCCCAAGACAGAACCAAGAGAAACCAACAGTGTATAAAAATAAATTAAGAATACAAACAGGAACAGAAAACGACATGTACCCTATGTTAGAGGGTTAAACAACACTGGACTTATTTACTCTTTCTGTGCTCTACAAGTCCACATGGCAATGACAGTGTGATGTGCGGTCATAATAAGTTACTATTAAATAGTAGAATTCAGAAGTACAGTAGGGCAATACATTAGAACAACAGTTTAAAACAACGAGCTGTTACCACAGCAAGGGAATAATGGAAAGGAAACATTTCACTTGGCACATTCTCTCATACTGTTAGCATAGTGAGGAATGTTTCTGACTACAATTTCTTTCTACACTACAATTTCTGCAAGTTCATATCATTTATCTTATCATCCCCAGAACACATTTAAAAGTATTTAAAATAATTGTCCTTTGGGAAATGTTGGAGTATTATAGCAAACGAAAACATTGAAAACAGTCAAAACACTTTAACATTGAAATAAATGATCTGAGGACAATTGCTCCCCTTTCATGTAGTTGTAAGACTCCACCGACTTCAATGATAAGGATACTATATTATTATGTGTCTTCCTGGAACTCAAAACGTTGTTCTAGAGTCACTAGAAATCTATTACAATTTCTTATATGTAGTTATTGAATCAATAAATGATTGCTTTAGAATATCTGGTAAGTCTTATAGATTCACTAGAAGTCTTTATTCAAATTTCTTATATTTTGTTCTAGAATAACTCAAAGTCTGTTCAAGAATGTTTGATATCTCTTTCTAGAATGACTAAAAGTCTGCTCTGGAATGGGTAATATCCGTTATAGAATTTCGAATTTGTTGTGCTACTTCAGATTTGCTGAAGTGCTGTTCGCTCCCCCTCATCATCACATCTGCTTCACTCTCTGCTGCAGGAGCTCCAGCTGCCGGGCCACCTCGTTGGGCAGGTCGTTGTTCACCTGCGTGGTGAAGAACTTCCTAACATCGGCCACCTCCCTCTGCCAGAACTCCTGATCCAGGGAGAACAGCTGGCTGAGGTCCACTTCCTCCTCCAGGCCCTGGAGGTTCAGGGAGTCGCAGCATGGCAGGTAGCCCACCACGGAGGGCATGGCGCCGGCCTCTCCATTCAAACGCCTGAAAATCCAGTCCAGAACGCGGATGTTGTCTCCGAAACCGGGCCAGAGAAATCCAGCGGTGGGACTCTTACGGAACCAATTCACGTGAAAGATCTTGGGGAGCTTGGCACCGGGGCGGTCGGCCATGCTCAGCCAGTGAGAGAGGTACTGGCCGAAGTTGTAGCCGAAGAAGGGGCGCATGGCGAAGGGGTCGTGCATGATCATCTTGCCTGAAGAAAGGAAGGGGGACAAGGAGCAGAGATTGGTACATGTCTTAAATATGTATTACCAGAGATGGCAAAAGTATACACATCCTTTACTCAAGTAGAAGTACAGATAATCATGTTTAAAAATACTCTGGTAAAAGTAGAAGTAGTGACTAAACTTCTTTACTCAAGTAAAAGTAAAGAAGTATGGGCTTTGAAATGTACTTAAAATAAAAAGTACCCATAACTAGCAGCTGTTTTAAAGAGTACCTGACCTCCCTTTATATTAATAGAACAATAATGTCATTGTTAGCTAATGAATGTTTCCATGCTGAACAACAGCAACATGACGTTGTCATTGGTCCCTCTTCTTTAGAGAAGACCAGGAAATGATGGATACACGGATCGTGTTCAAATCAATAGGCACGCAATGACTCTAAATAATAATGATCACGCCACCAAACACACATTCAAACTAAAGGAACCAGCCTGTTTGGAAAATGTAAGAAGTAGAAAGTACAGGTATTTGTGTTCAACATGTAAGAAGTGGAAAGTACAGGTATTTGTGTTCAAAATGTAAGAAGTAGAAAGTACAGGTATTTGTGTTCAACATGTAAGAAGTAGAAAGTACAGGAACGCGTACAGCGCCTCTCTTGTGTTCAAAAGTGCTAAGAAGTAGAAAGCTCGACACCGCCGACTTTGTCGCGTTCACACCGTTCACAGAAGTAGCCAACGCTCAGCGCACGCCTCTTCGCTGTCCTCAACAATGGTACAGGAAGCATACACCAGTAAACAAGTCGCTCAGAACAACTAAGCTGTCCGCGCCAGTCAACAGACTGCGATACACAAAAACCGTGTACTTAAATACCAAGTAACCAAGCTAATGTTGTAATCCGCACTACTTCCACCGTCTGCGTGATCACCCAGGCACAATAAATTGCATCTAGACGAGAGGGTTTTCAAAGTGGTCGGTAGGGTGATCTCCCCTCCGAGGAACATAAGAACAGCGCGCCCCCTCCCCCAATTATGATGAGTTGCTGTATGTCATTATTATTTATATATTATTTACGTTGTTGTTGTTGCTATCAATGCAGGGGTATGTCAATTGCATCTCAAAGAGGTCCAGTAAGACAGAAAATGTAATTAAAAGCTCATGTTTCTCGCTGTCTACCTTCCGNCTTAAATTGTCCAACTTTAAATTGACCACCCTATTACATTATCATCATTCACAAGGGTTTCTATTTCCTCAGCACTATCTGATGTATCCTAGACGTTGTAGAATGATGATAATGTAATAGGGTGGTCAATTTAAAGTTGGACAATTTAAGTTTATGTCCGGGTGAACCTAATGTCATTAACTTGTACAGTGGACCTTACATGAATAGGGCCAGATATTATAAAAATATGAATTCTCCAACCTTTGTTATACTGTAGCCACAGGCAGCAACAACGGATTGAAAAGTTTGACCGCCAATCACAAGAGACGGTTATTATTTCTTAAACCAACAAAAAAAAAACCTGTTTTGTTTTCATTTTACATTTGGCATTAAAATATTGGCTTGATATGTTATATAAAATCAATTGGTTGCTTTTGCCTGTTGCAAAATTAGAAGATGTTTCATATTGTGAAATTGATGCCGGATAAACAAATGAACTCCATGATAAAACATTGCATTTTACTGACCTTACTGCAGACAGCTTGCAATAATTCAAACCTTCTTTTAGAAAATGTAATCATATAACTGTACATTAGATTTTAACATGGCATTAAACTGAAAGCGAGCTGAGCAGTGATGTTTTTACAGCAGCTCCGTATTCAAAGCATTATCATTTCACTCCTTTGTTCACTGATAATGATGAAAGACAAAACTTCTGAAACTTGTTGTGCAAGTGTATGATAAATCATCTCTAAAATGTATTTCCTGTGCTTTTTTTGCAGTCAAACCAACAGTGATCCACACAGACATGTTTGTCAACAGCATCGGGCCGGTAAATGCCATCAATATGGTGAGTAATACTGAAATATGGAGTTAATGTGTCATGTTGTTATCAATAATCAGCCTGACATGGCATGTACAACTAAAGGAGTTTATCTGTATAATAAAAATGTGAGTTCAGCCTAACTCTTTCCTCAGATAGCTGAGCGTATAATGATCCGGAGAGTAGCTCTCTTCTCTGGCAGAGTTTCAGTGTCTTGCTCAAGCACACTTCAGCAGGGCAGATGATTTCTGTCACGCTGGATTGGTGGGTCCATCTAAACACTATGCTGCCCCACTGCCCTTGTAATGTTGCAACACAATGCAGGTGTCAATCTGCTACTTATCCACTGCACTGGCCTTTGCACCACATGGATAAATGAGGCTCATTGGGTTGCATCTGCGTTGCTTCAGACACTTATAACATCCTAATTAACAGTTGAGCAGTTGTGTTGCTCAACACACAGGCCAGATCTCAAAGCAGCATATTTGCAAATGGCTGCATGAATTGACAAATCCCAAGATGTTTGCACTCTCTAGTTGCCAAGGATTGCATCAGCGACAATATGACGTGTCACCTGTTAAAGCTCATTGTGTCTTACATTTTTTTTTTGCAGTTTGTGATTATTCTTTTGATCACATCTGTCTGTTGTTATGATAGGTGTGAGACATTGAAATGGTGGAAAGTCAATGTTTTCACCAACAGAAATACTGTTTATATGCTATTACTATTATATTACAGTCAGTTCTTTAATTATTATGTCCAGATACCTTTTTTTAATCTAATATTTAAGTAATCTTAACATGACCATACCATTGGTTATTTATTATTTGTAACGTTGGAAATCAGGTTGTGTATAGGTTAACCTTGATGATGAACAATATTGTACAACTGTTGAAGTAACGTTAAAATTAACCTAGTAAAATTGTGTTAACACCATTTCTCATTAGGTGTAAGAAGCTTGTTATTTCTGCTTAGCCAAGTCTGTTTCTTTGTTATATTACTCTTTCAACCGATGATCAGTTTGAGCCAATATGAGTGGGAGAATTGCTTGTTTGTACAATAGCAGATTCCAAAAAAATATTTCTATTAATACAAATAATAATTGCACAGTTGGAAGGGTTTGAAATACTGAATTGCAGCCATCAAGTTCATAAAGGTAGGAGGGCCCTACATTATGTGTGTGATGTGCAGTGTTATGTGTGTTACAATGCACAACTAATTATTGCTATATTTGAAGACTGAGGAATAATAATAGAATGTACAGCTGTCATCCTGCAGTGAAGACTAACATCATTGTTCATCTGATAGGGGAGTGGAGAGAAAAAAGGATTACAAAATGAGAGTCTCTTGCAAATCCCACTTCGAGGTTGTTTTATGTGTCATTGTTTTCTGTGGCACGTCCCCGCTGAGAACCCTCTTCAATTGTAATTCTGCGGAGCAGTCAGCTCTACATGGTGGTGGCGTTCCATTTCACTTAGTCTTAGCTAAAACACCCACTCTCAATAACTGCAGTCACTGTGATGGTGGAAGAGAAGCATTGATGGGATCAGTTAGAAAATGTGTTTTTGCTCACATTAGGGAGTCGTGT